AACACCAAATATTACTTAAAATTATTTAATTAAATAATTTTTGGTCTCCACATGTTTGATAATAAAAACTGAACCTCTTAATGAATTAAGTGGTGCTAAAACTGCAGCACAAAATATAAGAACTGCTTAGTGAATTCAGCATTTTGAATTCAATATTAAACATTCAGAATTAAGAATTAATTTTCATCAAACAGAGAAATTATTAGTCCTCGTTCTCCATTCTCTTCGCATCATTCATCATTTAGTATGACTAATAATTGCATGAAAGCCAACCTAAAAAGTTAAAAAAAATAATAATAATAATATTGCAACTGGAGAAATTCTTTATTTATCATTTTGTTATCTACCCACCTTATAAACAATAAGAGAAATTTATCTATAAATTTCGCCAAAAACAATCCCTTTCATTTCCATTTTTTTTCCTTTAATCATCACTCTTTATTCGTGGAAGAAGGAAAAAATATGGTGTTTGTGTTTGGAAATTATAATTTCCTAAGGCAGTGAATGAGTTTGTTTTGCGTGAGTTTTTCAGTAGAAGGATTATCTTTCAACTGCCTTTATATTATTGGCGATAACTTTATTGTTATGCTGGAATTATTTTTGGATTAATATTTCTATTTTGGACTTAAAAGTCATACATGCATATTCATTTTGATGTAAGTTTTGATTTTTTTCACCCAGTTTTAAAAATCCATCTCTGCTAATTAGAAGCAAGAATTTCTTTTTAAAAAATATTCATATTAATTATTTCAATGCAGTTGATTGGAGAACATGTTATTATTTGTTTCTATAGCATTATTTTTCAAAAAATTTCCACCCGAAGAACATTTTGCACATCGTTCTTGATCTTTGTTAGTTCCAGTTGATCTCAATGGATCTATTGCAATAACGATGAAATTAAACAAGTGTCACATGGTACCCCTTCATCAAACCCATGTAAGTGAGGTCTCTGAAATTGAAATATGGGATTAACATATGCTTTAGGAAACCATGACAATTGTACAACAAAATCACGTATGCTTTTATTTGTTTTTCCTTAAAGAATTATTTTTTGAAAATATTATATACTTCGTTTCCAAATAATTTGTTAAGGATTAACGTTGTGGTTCATAGTTAAATCTCTTATTCCGTATCAACTACTTATTCTCAAATATTATACCCTTTATTCTCAAATCATGTTTCGTTTGTTAAATGGTCAATTTATAATTTTTATTTTTTAATCACCGAACTTTCATCTTTATCCACTTAATATTTGAATTTGATTTCATATTTTTGTTATAAAAATGAATTATTCTTATTTTTTATTGTGTGTGGGCCTTAATTGATCATAAAAGAAAGAAAAGTCCTTGTTTGTTATTTAATGAATTTTATTATTAGTAGTAGATAATTTTTCCAATATAATTTTGCCAAAAATTATTCTATGTTATATTTCTCTTATAACTTTATAAATCACAATATAACTTTCATCATATGATTGCAAACTAATTTAAGGGCATATATTGCTCTACCGCGTACAACCTACGGGCTACTGGGCAAGCAATAGCTTTGATGAAAAGTAGAAAGAACGATGATCAATTTAGACCTGCGGCAGTACATTTAGTGGCCTGATTTGCCCTCCAAACATTTGCAACACAAATAAAATAGGAAAACAAAAACAAAAACTCCGATATCATAACCCAACACCCGAAAATAATAAGTTTTATTTTTATTGTCTGGGCGTAAAAGAATAGGGGATAAATAAACATTGCAAGTTTTTAAATAAACATGAGATAACTAAATAATTTAATGGCTTGGCTATGCCATGCTGCAGTTAATGGGACTGTCTTTTCATATAATGTTAGGAATAAAGACTATAATATAAAAAAATTACAACAAATAAACCATAATATTATCTAATGAAAATGTGTACAAGTGAAATACTACAAGTGGTAACAAGCCATAATTGAATTCCATTTACTACCACATCTACTTTTGTCTCATTGCACACCAAAGAGAAATTGGGCAAAAATTTAGTGTTACCTCACTTTTTTCAGGTAACTTGGTGTCTACTTTATTGTAGGTTGACCCTTATCTCTTTTTTTTTTTTTTTTTGGATGACACCATTTTTATTAGAATTCCAGAAGAAAGAGTCCGCGGTACCGAAGACTTACCGAGGTACATATGAATGATTTGGTACAAGTTTAAGAAAGTCTGGGAAAGACTGTTATCTATTCTGGATGTATGGAAATCCTTGCTGATCAAGAATTAGAAGTCTTTTCGAAGCGTTCGGAAGATTTTCGAAATAGCGGAACTTCTAAGATAATCCCGAAAAAGTTGTATTAGTAAGGCTGTCGGCAACTGCATTTATTTCTGGATATACATGTAAAATGTTGTAGTTCTGTACCCGTAACGTGAAAAGTATTTCTTGTAACTCACTATTGAAACGCCAGGGGAAACTCCTTCCAGTGTTCAAAAGATGAGCAATCAACAAATTATCAGTTTGTACCTTAACTTTCGGAAGCTCCATTGTCACACATTTCTGAAGTCCAAAGAGTATTCCACTTATTTCCGCTTGGAAACTATCCCCATCTCCGATATATCCAGTCTCTGCATATTAAAAGGATCCCCTGTCACCTCCCATTATGAAACCATATCCCGAATCATTAGTTTCTTGTTTTGCGGATCCGTTCGTGTTGAGAACGTATGTATTACGCGCGGGCTGCTTCCAACGGACTACCTTTGTCAACTTACTCCGCATACCGAATTTGATATTTGGAAAGATGTTTTCCATGAAAACCTTCTCAGAGAGGCAGCTAACTGTAGGAGCATAGACAATCAATAAATTTTGTATGTGATCCAAAATTGTTGCTTGCACTTGCTTAGGAAGAATTCGGGTGTCATCATCAATTAGCTTGTTCCGCCATTTTCAAATTTCCCAAAAAATGAAGACAATAACCGTCATGACCGCCACCTTTTTTGCAGAAGAGGGATTTCCAATTGATAACCAATGCTGCATCATGTACCAAAGTGTTGCAGTTGGAGGCAAATTTATTTCAAAGATCTGCACCAAAAAAATCCCATACAAGTCGAGCATATGAGCAATACATAAAAATATGTTACTTTGATTCTTCATGATTCCTGCATAAGGGGCATATGGAAGGATTAGCATGTATTCCAAAGGTTGTAACAATATAAGAGATTGGAAGCAATTTATTTTCTAATTTCCAAATAAAAAAATGATATACGAAGAGGGATGTAATGAGGCCAAATATGTTTCAAAACTCCCTGTTTCGGCTGGCGACGTTGCATCACTTCATAGGCAGATTTTATGGTGAAAATTCAAGTTGAGCTGGGCTGCCATATGATGTCATCCTCCCCATCTTCAAAATCTTGGTCAATCTCATTCAGACTCAGCAAGGTAGATGCTGAAAGGACCGTTTGAAATTCAACAATTAGCTCCTGTTTTCGATCAAAAAATTATTTTATGGTAAGGCAAGAGGATGGTGGTGTCGTTGATGGAATCTCCTAGATGACTCCAAGCTTAGACCAATTGTTGCGCCAAATATTGGAACCTCCATTTCGGATTTGAACCTTTGAAATGTATGAGGCCTCAAGATCAAATTTTGCAACTCTATTCCACGCGATTTTCTTGCGAGCAAAAGAAGATAAAGTTAACAGAAATTTAGACTATAAACCCTGCTTCTTTTTAATTTCCACCAAAGTTTAGCAGAGAAAGATTTAACAATCTCCCTGAATTTTCGGATGCCAACTCCATTTTCATCCACAGGAAAGGTTAAACGCTCCCAAGATCGCCAATGTCGTTTACCAGCCTTGCCATAAAAATTTCTGACAGCGTTTTTCTAACGCATTTAGCACCGAGATCGGAGGTTCTAGCGCTGCAAATACATGTAGAGGAAGGGTTGAGAGAACATGTTTGATGAGAAGAAGCCGGCCTCCTTGACTGAGCATTCTATTTTTCCAGTTTGTTAATTTTGTGTCCAAAGAGTTTAGGAGATACTGGAAGTCCGCTGCGCGTTTTCTACCATTGTAGATCTTGCAACCAAGATAATGGAAAGGAAAGGCACCCTGCTGCACGCTTAAAATATTCTTGATCAGCGCAACTCTTGGCGATGGATAACCCTCATCTACAAAAAAAAAAAAAAATTACTTTTTTGAAGGTTAATCTTTTGACCAGAAACTCTTTCATAGGCTTCAAAGAAATTATTCAGCTCCAACAACGAGACCTTCAACCCTCGAGTAAAAACTAATAGGTCATCCGCAAAACAGAGGTGAGAAATTGGGAGTGATCAGGTGGAGTTCCATATCCGTCTATCTTTCGCTGCATCATGAGAAATTTTAGCCTGCGAGACATAGTTTTGAAAACTAAAATAAACAAATAAGTCTCCCTGTTTAATCCCTATGGAAGCGTGAAAAAATCCCGCCAGACTGCCATTTATTAAAAAAATAGAAAATCAGCTATTAGCAAGATTAGACATAATCAAAGAAATAAAATGATTGGGAAAATCAAACCGTATGAGGACTGCTTTCAGAAAATTCCATGATATTCGATCAAAGACTTTCATCATGTCCATTTTTAAAATAAGATTATTTCCAATTGATTTATGTCCCAGAGATCCTAAGCAAGTAGTATGTTATCAGTAATATCCCGTCCGGCCAAAATAGCCGATTGCTCTTCGGAAATCAACTTTTGGAGTGAGGCCACATTTGTTATCAAAATTGAGCAACAACAATAGAAAAAAGGTAGTAAAAGACTGAGTCATTCAAAATTTGATGTGGAAAAAAGACCACTATTTGAAGAGCGTGGTTGCTCAAAGGATACTACAACGAAGTCACAAACATTAGTTTGCATCACCGATCGATGAGACGATGACATATAACTTCTTTTTTTTTTTTTTTTGTAAATGTTACTTTTCAAAATTTTCCATAATGAATTGAACGAAATTGGCTACATAAAATACAATGTCACATTGATATAGTGACATCAAAACTCAAACTCCAAAGTTTCATAGCGGAGGACCTTTTTGTCCTTGAATGGCTCGGTGTATAATTATTCAAAAGTATGAAGATACTTTCACCATTTGAGCAAACTACGAGGAAAGCCGACGTAAAATTTGCCTGCTTCTTCACTTCGTCACTTAATACTACAGTGTACAGTTTGGTGTCAATTGAGAATTCGGCTGTTCCGTATTTCCCTCCAAAGTTGAGCATTGCCATTGGAATCCTCTATCCCAAACCCTAGTAAAACTATCCCAATTCCCATTCCATCGAAGGAGGGAGGGGAAAAAATGGGGAGTAATACACTTGTTCCGATTCCGGCAGATTCTTACACTCTGGGCTTCATCGGAGCCGGAAAAATGGCCGAGAGCATAGCCCGTGGTGTTGTCAAATCCGGCGTCTTACCTGCTTCCAGGATAAGGACAGCTCATCACCGCCCCGAACGCCGCTCTGCTTTCGAATCATTCGGCGTCACTGTTCTCGACCACAATCATCAGGTTCTTTCGCGTTGATCATTAATCGACTCATTCATTCAAGCATTCCGGTTTATATACTTATAACGCGTGCTTAGAGTCCATGGAAGTGAAAGTAATTTTTCTTTTACTTTGCAAATTTACGTGGGATGGGTGTGGAATCGGTGGGTGGGGGAGGGAATAAACAATCGGAATGATTGACTTTGACGTCGTTTTTTGCGAATTTTTTGTTATTTATATCCGATTTGATTGAAGAATTAGTACTCGCCCTGAGAAAATTGAAGGTTATGTCTATGAAGAAATATCCTTTTCTTTACAATTTAATCTTCTGTAGCCTTTTAACTTTAAGAGTGGTTAGTTCATCATAAACATGCAAGAGCATAGATGTGAGAAAAATGATTTTTGAGTTATTTTCTCTGTGATGCCTTGTTGAAATGAACAAGATATTCTTTTTGTAATGTTTTTCAGGACATGTTCTTGTCCGGTGTAATTGTAATTGTTTAAACAGCTAAATTTGATTACCTCCAGAGTAGTCTAAAGAGTTTTATACCTATTTTTTTTTTACTTGACGAGTAGTAAAGTTTATACCTTGACCCTGGTTTTGGACATAGCTAGTGTAAAAAATTTTAGAAGGGGATGTTATTTCAGGAAATAGGTACACAGGTTTTAGTTTATTGGAGTCTTTTCCATTGCGCATGGCTTTCTTTGCCTCGTTGATTTTCTTAAGTCTACTTTGGAAAACTGTTCATGGTCGTAGTTATGTGAAGTCATCAGCTAATATTGGGTTTTATGCTAACTAATAATCCTGATATTGAGTAGCCTTCCAGGGGATGTATTTCTTCTTCTTTTCTTTTTAATTTGCCTTTTGTGGCAAAAGAGATGAATATAGCATTGAGCACTTTCATTGGTTATGTTGTTACATATCATTTTATCTTATTTTTGGTTCTGGCTAGATTGAAGTGCTGTTGAATGAGGATGCTTCATCATTATGCTGATTTCTGTTTTACTTTTGCATTGATGAGAAAACTTAGCTTAGTATTTTACTTATCTTGGAATTTTTCTATTTTTCTTCTGAAGAGCAGGTTGTTGAAGCTAGTGACGTGGTTATACTTTCTGTCAAACCTCAAGTAGGTAAATGAACTCCTACTTACTCCTACCCAAGTGTTAGCTATGTTTCCAGTTTTTATTCTCCTCCCTCTCCCTGTTCGATGTCTGCTTAGTTGAGATAACTGTTTTGACCATCAATGCAACTTGTCTCCTTGCGTAATCTACTGGTTTGAAACTGAGATGAGTTTCATTTCTCTTCTTTCCTCATGTAACCCAAAGGTAACTTGAAATTTGTTAGCTGTTGAGAATTGTGATCGACATGAGATTATTTAGCAACAGAATACAATTGTCTATCCTGATGTAGTAGAAACTATTGGTAGATCTGAACCTTAGAGTTGCGAGTATGGGAAAATCTTTTCTTCCCTATTACTAACAGAAACTGAACATTGTTGTTGCTAGTGTGGCAAAGCTTTTTTCTTCTCTGGTAACAACATCTCCACATGAACTTTCTGAATTAGGTGTAGCCTCCATTAATTTTATCCATTAGGAAATGTTTTTCATAATATGCTCTTAATTTATATATTCAATTTCATGAAGTTTATTTCGTTTCTGTGCAGTTAAGGATGTGGCTCTGGAGATAAAACCACTTCTCTCTGAGAAGAAGCTTTTGGTTTCAGTTGTTGCTGGTGTCAAATTGAAAGATCTTCAGGTTCACTACATATTCAGTTTTCAATATTATTTTTTATTTTACAGATCCTCTAGTTTGAATTATTGCGGTAATGGTTAGTGACAATTAACATCATTTGTGAAAATTTAAAATTTCACTTTTCAATGGAAAAGGTCTTGCAAGGCACAAGTACAATTAGCCCTAGGTCACATGATTCATTCATGCATTTTTCTTGGTATAATCCTTTTGTGCAACTTCTATAGAAACTCATGCTTGTCAAAGAAAAGAATAGCTCATCAAGTTATGGGAGAAAGTTAGAATGGTGATCTTTCTTCCAAATTGTTGTCTTATCTGACACAATAAAGGATTCAATATGATAATCATGAATCATTCGCTCTTTCCTATGCACTCTTCTGAAGAAGAATACTTTGGCAAGCAAAGATTAAATTACAAAATGGTTATCGAGATACTGGTTGGACTAAAACAAATAAGCACCATGCTGTGATTTTATACTTACATAGCAGATCATTCTAAGACCCTTTGCCATTGAATTTAATTGTCAAGACTTCCTAGTTACATATCAAATAATCTCCGGTTTTCTTGTAGATATATTCCTTTATCGGGAAGACAACCAATTACGCGGGGGGTGGGTTGAAGTTTAAAAAATGGGTTTTTTTTTTGGGTGCATTTAAAGATAAAATGTAATATGCAAGCAATTAGTAATATTACATTGTCCAAGCGAAACAAAAAATGCACTACTGTAATCTTCTATGTTAGTGTAACAGCATTGGAATAGCCATGAATTCCTCGTTCCCCATGTTTTGAAGTTGTAAACCAGGTAAAGATTAGGCATGGCTAAACTGTAGAGACAATAGCCCCTATTGCGCTCATTGTGGCTTCACCACTGCTAACATATTTGTGAGCTTAAATGTTTTTCTACATTGGAATTTGGACCGATTTCTAACCAATAATAGTTGAGAGAATATTCAAATCTTTCCTTCCAGGAAAGGACAAGTTTAAAGGACTGAACTTGAACATGAGTTTTGGAATGTCAAGCTTTGATGTTAAGTTTGACTAAGTTACATTTACCGAGGATTTTAATTAGAGAACTTCATATTGGCAACCAGTTATGGACATTTAGAGTTACTTTTCCATGTTCTTATCTCTAATAAGAAAGATAAATTTCAGGTGGTCCAAATATAGCTAATGCTTAGAGGAATATCATACTGCAATATAATCTTCTTAAAAGTTGCTCCTGATTTGTTTCTTTTAGTAACTAATTTTCATTTAAAGTACATCTAATTCAGATGTGCTTTTAAATTCATTTTCGTTCGTTGATTTACCTTTTCAGGAATGGTCTGGTCATACTCGATTTATCAGAGTAATGCCTAACACCCCAGCAGCTGTTGGGGAGGCTGCATCTGGTAGCGTCTTTCTCTTGACCGCCATTTCTTTAAATCAGTTTTTCATTTCATATTCTTTATGATCATTATGGATTTTCTTTTATCCGTAATGGTTACCACCTTTTCTGTTTCTTTCTCTGTGAAGCTATGCTTAGTATATTTCATCAATTTGAGGATAAGAAACCCAAAAGGTTTGAAGCATTGAAACGAATACCAACTTGTATGTTGTTTCTCTTTTGCAGTTATGAGTTTGGTTGCTGCTGCCGCAAAGGATGATGGAGAATTAGTATCCAAGTTGTTTGGAGCGATTGGTAAGGTGTGGCAATGTGACGAAAAACATTTTGATGCTGTAACTGGTGTCAGGTATGCCATCCTCTCCTTCGTATCAGGAGAATTTGTTTCAGTGCTTTCTGCACAATTGGATTAAAAAAAGTGTAACCTTCTGGTCGCTCTAGTGTGCTTAGGTGGATACTCTTGTACTATTTTGTTTGTTGTTCTTTCTGCATTTCCTTTTTTTGGGAGATTATCAGTTATTCTAACCCAAAACTTCCAACTTTCGATTGTTCAGTGGTAGTGGACCAGCATATATCTACTTAGCAATAGAAGCATTAGCTGATGGAGGAGTTGCAGCAGGTTTACCCCGAGAACTTGCATTGGGTCTAGCTTCTCAAACTGTAAGTAGAACTGCATGGCTGGATCTTAAACACTCGTGCATATTCTCAAGGGTCTAATCTTGGCTGTTATGCAAAGCCTGATAGAATTAATTATGGTAGTAGCATGCTGATGTTCTAATTGAAGTTTGATCAGTAATGCTCAACTAACAAGCAACTTTTTATCTTTCATAGATCATATGATTGCTTAAAATTTAGATATATGGGTTGATACAAGTAGAATCTATTGAAGATTTAGCAGCATGATGTTTTGTGAATCTTTGGCAATTAGTTTCATTCTTTTCTGAAGAATTAAATACAAAAAGAAACGAGGCTAGCTGAAGTGTAAAGGTATACTATTGATGATCGTGTTGTTTCACATATCTTACATGTAAGCAACGTGTATGTGAGATTTTGTATCTCTTTGAATGCTAAAGATGAGTTGGCTTCAGGTATTGGGTGCGGCATCAATGGTGATCAATTCAGGCAAGCACCCTGGTCAGCTCAAAGACGATGTTGCGTCACCCGGTGGGACAACCATTGCTGGAATTCATGAGCTGGAAAAGGCTGGATTCCGGGGGATATTGATGAATGCTGTTGTTGCTGCTGCAAAACGTGGTCGAGAATTATCACCAAGCTAATTGGTATCACCCACAACTATCAATTTGCCAAAGCCAGGCTGCAGACGGTTCAATTGTAGTTTATAGGGTGAAGTTTTTGGATTTTAGCATTGCATTTGATAGTTACACTTCTATTTCGATTGTGAGATACGAATCAGTACATTTCCAGTTTACCCTATTGCCTTTGGAATATTACTAATATTTCCTCCTACAAACTAGCATTTACCAGTAATCTTTACAAGAACACTCGCCTCCTTTAAAATGATGGAATCGAGTTCTATCTCTAACCACTATTTCTCGATCGTAAACCTTCGAGATCAGCTTACTAACATGGTGACAGTCTTTACAGACGCGTAAGTTCTTGGTGATACGAAGAGTTTCTCCTGGTTTAGTTTTCAACAAACCATACGCAATTGCCAGTTTTTCACTGTGGTAGAAAACTGGATTCTCTGTTTCTTCCTCACTGATATCTTGCGCTACTCGTCCATCGACGACTGGGACATATCCTGCAGATTTTCTTATACAATCCAACATTTCATTGACCTTGTTGTATATCTCTTTGGCTTCATGATGAGTTCTTCCACCTGCAATAAACTCATTCACAGCACCTCCCAATTCGATGACCGAGAGGCCTGGAGCCTTTTTCACTCCCCTGTCATTCATCAGCTTTCTTACATAAGCAACATCTTCCCATTTCCCGGCATTGGCATATAGGTTTGCCAGCAAGACATAACGCCCGCTGTTGTAAGGCTCTAATTCGATTAATTCCTTCCCAATCTCCTCTCCTAGCTCAACATTCCCGTGGACTTTACAGGCACCGAGAAGAGCTCCCAACACACCGACATCAGCCCTCATTGGCATCTCATTAATAATTTTTCTAGCTTCCTCCAGCAATCCAGCTCTTCCAAGCAGATCAACCATGCATCCATAATGTTCCATTCCTGGTTCAAGACCATAAACTTCTCTCATGTATTGGAAATAATGCCTGCCTTCATCAATTAACCCCGAATGCGCACAAGCGCTTAATAAGTTGACGAACGTTATGTAGTCAGGAGTTACATCTTCCTCCTCCATCTTCTTCAAAAGCTCAATGGCAGCCTCCCCTTTACCATTAACAGCAAGTCCTCCAATCATGCAATTCCAAGACGAAATCCCTCTACGTTCCAGTCCCTGAAACACTGCAAAAGCCTCATCCAGACGTCCACATTTGCAGTACATATCCATAACTGTAGTCCCTAATTTGGAGTCCACTTCCATCCCACTTTCCTTAATGTAATTATGAATCCATTTCCCTTGCTGTAAAGCTCCCAGTCCAGCACAAGCAGATAACATACTAGCAGCCACAAACTTGTCCATCTTCACATTTTCCATTCTCAATCTCTCAAACAAAGCAAATGCCTCGCAAAATCGATTGCTATGAACATAAGCCGTGATCATCGCGTTCCAAGAAACGGACGAGTCTTTCCTTCTATCAGTTGGCATTGACTCGAAAACTTCATAAGCCTGATCCACATAGCCACATTGTGCATATCCACTGATCAACGAGGTCCACGAAACATCGTCTTTATGATCCAAATAGTCGAACACCTTCCGAGCATCCTCCAAACAATCAAGATTCACATACATGTGAATCAAATTATTCTGCGAATAACTGTGTGAGGAAAACCCGTGTTTAATAACATGGGCATGGACTTGGTTGCCTTCAGAAACAGCATTGCACAAACAGCAAGCTCTAATTACAAGAGGGAAAGTGAAGTTATTGGGTGTTACTGAATTCTCCAACATTTGGGTGTACAAAAGAAATGCCTTTTCAGGTAAGTTTGATTGCAAAAAGCCTCTAATAATGGTGTTGTAGATAAATGCATCTGGGCTAGGCAAAGTATGAAGAACTTTGAGGGAATAGTTTAAGTCCTTAATTGTTTCGGAAATGGCACAAAATTTGATGACACGGCCCATGGCGTCATTGTTTGAGGAGAGGCCGAGCTTGATTGATTGAGCATGGTGTTGCTTGAGTTGAGCCATGCTTGAACATGAATCAAGTTGGAATTGGGTGGTTTTGTTGCAGAGAGGTGGGGAGGAAATGGAATGCAGCTGTAATGTGGCCATGAACAAAACACAGTTCTGGGCTCAAGAGATTATCTCTTTGTATGATTCTGTCTATGCTGAATTCATAGATGAGATAAGGAAAGGACTAAGCATCATGGAGAACAGATATTTTTTCTGATTTTGTTGATGTTATTATTCAAGGGGACTGTGCAAGTTAGAATATCTTAACTTTGAAATTGTTGCAAAAACGCCTTGAAAGTGATAGTATATTTATTTTTTCCCTATAACTTTTGGTTTCCTAATTATCATTACATTTACGAGATGGAAAGATTTATTTGAAGCAAAAGTAACTCTGTTAATCCTAATATAAGAAGTCACTTACATGTTTGACTAGTTTGGACGTCATCTTACATTTTATTTTGCCACTTAAAAGTGGAAAGTGTTTCAAGTTGAAAACTAAATGGGAAATGAAAATAATGTTTGGATGGTATTTTGAGCAAAAAGTTGTTTGGATGTTGGTTTTGAAAAAAAATTTTGAACTACATTTTGAAAATATCAAGTACAAGTCATCACTAAATAATTAAATACTGTCAATTATAGTCACTGCATAAAAGAACTTTTCCAAAAACAATCACTCAACAACGGAATCCAGACAAATTTGTCACTAAACTATTTGTAGTTCTAAAATGGTCATTACACTAACAAAACGTGTTTCAAGTTGGAATTAAAATGTAAATCACAAAGTTGTTTGGATGATGTTTTCTTTTTCATTGGGTTTTGTATTTAAGAGGTAAAATGAATTAAAATGTAAAATGAGTGCCTGTCCAAACAAACAAAATTTGTGATGAATTTCTTGGTATCCTTGGATATGACTAGTTTTGATGAGTTATTTTTATCATATTTTGATGTTCTAGACGATTTTGCCTCTTTTTACTTTTTACTGTGCCAAAAAAAAAATGCGACTCTTGTTAATAAATAGTGGGGGCATATTTCTTTTAAAATGTATTAGAGGGTCACTAGTTAAAACTAATAAAAATACGTATTGTACATGGATACAGATTAGTTTTATTTTATGTAAAAGAAATTGTTAGTTTTATCCCCAAAAAAGTGTGGAAAGGGCCTATTCCCATAATTCCATTGTTAATTATGCCAAAAACTCAAGAGACTACTAATGCTACTTAATTTGAGTATGTGGACAAAAAGTGTAATGCGAAAACCCATCAGGACTTCTTGTGTAATGAGGTCAAATTAAAGACCAAAATCCCCAATTATGATGACCAATTAGCAGTACACTTGAGAGTTGAGACAGCGCAGGAGTACGAAAATGGCAAGTTCAGGTTCAACCTCGGAAAATTTCTCGGTGTTGGTATTGGCGTCGGATTTAGGCATAGATGCCCGGCCGTTTTTGTCCCATTCGGACCCTGAAACTCAAGAAGAAAACTGGCATGACTGCCCTTCTTATCTCGACGAAGATTTCTCTGATCTTGAAGCCCTTCAATTCTTCCGTCTTGAACCCGGCTCTGATAAAGCCGGCAACCGTATCTTTCGCATCGTCGGCAAATACTTCCCTGGTATCTCCCACTGTCTCTTCTGCTATCTTTGATGTTCTGTTCTGCTGTTAGAATTTTTCCCTTTGGGGCTGGGTTTACCCATTTTAATAGTCTGGGTTGAAGCTCTGTCTGTGAGTTCAATCTATGTAGTTAACTCTTGGTTCGGATTTGTTTTTCCCTTTGCCGATTGAGCTTTTCCTTGTGTAATTATCTGTTTTCCTTTACAATTTCTGGAATATGTTCACATACTATGTACATGCTGAAAAAGCTTGCATTTTGGGGGCTCGCTTTTTACTTTCTGTAATTATGTCGTTTTCGTTACTTTTGTGTAATAGATTTCTTCTGGTCTAAAATTTGAGGCATAATTTCTCTTAAAAATTTGAATGAAACACCCGGAAATATGTATAGGAGCTCTGAGTTTTGGTGGGTTTATGAGTTCAGTTTTCCCCATGGTGAAAGCATCTTGAGCCCTGCTTGTCCGGAAACATCTCTACGGAGTATCCTACTGCTCTTTGATCAACGATAATGCCTCGCTCTGGGCTGGATGCATATTATAGATTCTTATAAGGACTTTTCGCTTTGAGATTTTGATGGCTGGATGAGTTTAGATGTCCATGTATTATTATGTCAGAGTTGATGGTTTGTTTCCCTGAACTCAAATGCATTGTCGAATTTTCTTAACATTGATCCTTTCGCGTCTTATATGTCAGTGTTCCTAGTTTTGAAGTGGCTGAATTTTTGTGTTAATCTTGATCTTTTCTATTTTCTGCTTGTTAACATTTCAGCTCCAGTGGTAAGTGGCGAACGGCTGAAGAGATATGTCTTCCACAAAATTTCCTCGGAAATGCCACAAGGGCCATACTGTATCGTATACATGCATAGTACAGTGCAGAAGGATGATAATTCTCCTGGACTCACCATCTTGAGGTGGATTTATGAAGAACTACCTGCTGATTACAAGGACAGGCTTCAGAGTGTGTACTTCATTCATCCTGGTCTTAGATCAAGGCTTGTCTTTGCTACATTGGGCAGGTTTTTCTTGACCGGAGGGTAAGTGCTACCGTGTATACTATGTACATCTTTTCTAAAAGTCCTAGGTTCTCTAAAAGTCCTGCATATTGCATTGGAAAGCTAAAAAATGTGGAAATGATCTGTTTTGTTCTCTTGGTGGCCTGTTATTATTGTAATAAACAATAAATTTGTTGGCAACTGATCTGATTAAAAGTTTGAAATTGTTGATGAGAACATCTTTATTCTGCAAGCTCGAATTGGGAATTTCAGTTTTGATATAAAGGCACATTAGAATGCAACTTTTTGTCAGATAACAAAGAAGAAATCTATGCAGTTAGAATGCAGGCAAGTAGGGATGACGTTAGATATTAAGACAATTAACAAATTCTTGATGCCATGTTTCGGTGAACGTAATTCAACCTATTGTGGTTGTTTGACTCTTTTAAAAGTTCCATTTTATTGAATTTGGAGAATTTCTCGCAAATCACCTGCCAAGGTTGCTATATGTTAGATTGATCTTTTTCCTTGTCCCTTTTCCTTTTCAGCCTATACTGGAAAATCAAGTATATTAGCCGGTTACAATATCTCTGGGAACACATAAAGAAAGGAGAAGTTGAAATTCCTGAGTTTGTTCAGCAACACGATGATGTTCTGGAGCATAGGCCACTGACTGATTATGGGATTGAACCTGATCCTCTTCATGTGACTGAGATTTCTTCAATGCCGTGCTCATTTGGAAGACACGAGGCAGGATGGGCATCCAGAGAATACAGGTCATAGCAAATCTATCGCTTGGACAACTAGAGAAGCAATGGTAGTTCGTATTTGCAAAGCCTTTGATAGTTTAATCTGTGATCTTTGTGTGACATATGTACTCATACCTACTGGTGGTGTAATGAAAGCATGGTCCTGATCTTAAACCTTTTCCTGTTGTTCTAGTTTGGGTGGAAACGTGATTAATGTATATTCATGGAATTTAGATTACCATTGTTCCACTTCAATGTCATAAACTTCCTATTGTAAATAGCAGTTTGTCTAATCCTAATTAGTGTGTTCTATATGAGATGCTACAGGTACAGCTGTGATTCTTCAATTTCTGCTTATCTAGATTCCATAAAGGCTATTTCAGATCAAGAGCAGTGTACTTCCATGTGCATATTTATAGAGAGGATATTGACATTAGCCGTATCTGTTTGTTTGCGGTCAACATTTCTGGTATACATTGTTTTCAGTCAGTGTAAGGATATTCAAAATGAGAACTCCATTAACTCCCCATGTCATCAGATTTATCTCCAAGAACTAAAATGTGACCACATTTTAGCCAAGCAGTCTAAAATTACCTTTATTTTGGGATAGCTCTATACTATTCAGGTTCTAAGGAAGGAGGGTTCCTTTTGACTATCTTCACTACTCCCTTCATCCTGGAAAATATACTGTGTTAGTCCAACAAAGTGGGTTATTTGATGAATTAATACATGGGCATAGATGAGAAGTAAAAGTGGAATCAAAAGCTATGAATACTCTCCATTAATAGGAAGTTTTGATCAATGGGGACCCATTTTGTGATTTTGTCATCAGTCAAGTACTGAAATGCCTTTAAAGTTTTAATAATGCGCGGAATAAAGCATCAAATGATGAAGATACAACGAAAATCGTTTCGCGTGGTCATATAAGGAAATTAAGGAGAAACCACGGAAGTTTCTTATTGCTAACACTTAATATCCACACAAAAAGTCCGGGAAGAGAATCAGAAGATGATCTTAATTTTTTAAACCATTATTTCCTACCAAGAATGAGGAAAAAAAAAGATTCCTTCAATGAGGAAAAGAACAACAAGTGAGTACTTGCATTATTATTATCCTTATTGTCTATGAGATTTGTGCTAATCCCTCACAAGAGCAACCATGATATGCATATCTATATAAAATAATACTGCTTTCTTTGCGAATATTTCTACAAATGGTTTTGGACATCAAAACTGAAATATAAAGCTTCAATCTGTTTAAAAATCAATGCATTACAAACAAAACCATATTGAGTGAAATGAGTAAATTTCCATGTCAATATTGACTCAAAATGGAGTGGGAATTACATTGATGTCACACTTGTCAACTACTCTTTTTGAGGACTAATTTGGAAATGTTTATTGAAGTTTAATGTTAATCTTGAAAGAATTAATTTTGATCCTCGTCTTTTCCGTCCCTCCCAAAACTTAAAACCACTACTAAACCCAAAAAGTGAAACAAAAACCAAACACATTTCAAATTTCCCTTCATTTTATCCGACGAAATGTTACGAGTTATCCATCTTAAACGCTCTCTCCGACCACTCCTCCGGAATCCCACCACCGTACTCCGCCGTTGCTCCACCGTCTCCAATCCTCCTCCTCAACCTCCACCTCCACCTCCTCCAATTCCGCCTCCATCCGCATCCTCATCCTCCACCGATTCTGAAATCCGGAAATACATCGGATACACTCTCCTTGTCCTCGGCTGCGGTGCGGCCACTTACTACTCATTTCCATTTCCGGAAGACGCCAAGCACAAGAAAGCACAGCTCTTTCGTTACGCCCCATTGCCGGAAGACCTGCATACGGTCTCCAATTGGAGCGGGACCCATGAGGTCCAGACCCGGAATTTCCTTCAGCCTGAATCATTGGAACAGCTTGAGGATGTGGTGAAAAAAGCCCATGAGAGTAAGCAGAAGATTAGGCCGGTCGGTTCGGGTCTATCCCCGAATGGGATCGGGCTGACTAGAGCTGGGATGGTGAATTTGGCTTTGATGGATAAGGTTTTGGAAGTGGACAAGGAGAAGAAGTTGGTTAGAGTGCAAGCTGGTATAAGGGTTCAGCAACTTGTTGATGGGATTAAGGATTATGGGATTACATTGCAGAATTTCGCTTCCATCAGGGAACAGCAAGTCGGTGGCATTGTTCAGGTTGGGTTCTTTGACCTTATGTAATTTTTTTTTCTTTGTTTTTGTGTTTTCATGTTAATTTTGATGGATGCATAGGCATATTTGATTTCCGAGGTGGTTGTTGTTGCTCCAATAATAGAATGGTATTTCTGACGACCCTTTGGGAAATGAATTCTGTCATTGTTACTGTTTCCCTTTTTGGTTAAATTTCGGAACTTGGTGATTTTGAAATAATTCTTTTGTGCTCCTCCAAATGTTGCTTGGTCCCATTCACTGGTCATGTTAAGAAGTGTTAGATACTCAGCTTGCCTAATTTGGAGGGATTTTTGTGTAGTTGATAGATGTTATTGTTGTGCTTATTATGGATGTATGAATGTGACTTCTTTGGTTTTTAGCAAACTTTTTAATCAGGTTCCTCTTTTTCTGATTCTTTAATTCAAGAAACTTTTGGGAATAAAAAAGTTGGAAAATATAATAAATTCAAGAAAAAGAAACTTAACTGGGCAGTATTTAAAATTAGGTCATTTTTGAAAAAGTGATGTCTATTCTGCGCAATGTGGATGGGCTCCTTACGATGTCAGGCTTTTCAGCTGCATTTGGATGAATTCTACAAGTTTTTACTATGTGTGGGTAAAGTTTATGTGTTGAATTTCACTAATTAGGAACGTATTAGTCCGGTGAATTGTTTTCTTAGCACCATTTGTTGTTGTTTCTGGTGCTGTTCAATAGAAGAATATGATGCTAGTAGTTTTCTATCTGGGTTCCCCTGTTCTTAATAGAATCGAGTTCTATGAAATGATGAGATCCAATTTTTATTGTGACTTATGCCTTTTGAAAGTTTCGATGGTCTGGATTGAATCAATGGAGCATTCAGATTCTTGGAGAAGATAGTGTCCATGACTGTAGTATGTAATTTCCGTGGTAGAATTAAATGTGTTCTCCCCTGCATAATCTAATTTTCATTTTTCAATGTCAAGTATCAAGTTAGGTCTGTTGACGATAGTTTTCTCTTCGTTCTCTTTTAGCGTATATAATGGATGAAAGACTGTTTTGAACCCCAAAACCTATTCTTGTTCCCTTAGTGGCACTCTCTCATGTTTTCACTTTCACAATTTAATAGGTCGGTGCACATGGTACTGGTGCCAGGTTGCCTCCTATTGATGAGCAAGTTATCAGCATGAAATTGGTCACTCCTTCAAAGGGAACCATAGAAATTTCAAAGGAAAAAGACCCAGAACTCTTTTATCTGGCTCGTTGTGGACTTGGTGGCCTTGGCGTAGTTGCTGAGGTTACTCTTCAGTGCGTTGAGAGGCAGGAGCTTGTAGAACATACATTTGTCTCTAACCTGAACGAGATCAAGAAGAATCACAAGTAATTTTCTTTTCAGATATTCATTCATTTGGAAATTAAAACCCTAGATTAAGAGTATATATTCTCACACTGTGACTCATGAAATACAGCAACTAGGTGGTATTCCACATCTATACTTACATTTAGGCCAGTTCGCATTCAGTGATAACATGCTTGTCCTATGAAAGGCTATTAAGTGCTGGTTTTTATTGCAAATCATAAACTCCTGTTATGCTTTACTTGAGGCTGAGCACATTAAAATGAAACTGAAGGCAATTGTAACATTTTTGTAGGAGAATTAATGAAATCCTGGTCTTTTGATTTTTTTAATGCAAATTGTTTTGCAGTATTTTTACATCCATAACTATGGAACACATTTAGTTTATTCCTGCTGTATCTCTTACTCATTGCATACATCTTATGTTGCAGGAAATTTTTGTCTGAGAACAAGCATGTGAAATATCTGTATATTCCTTATACTGACACTGTCGTGGTTGTAACTTGCAATCCTCTTTCTAAAAAGAAAGGTCCACCTAAGTTCAAGCCTAAGTATACCAATGAAGAAGCTATACAACATGTACGAGACCTCTACAGAGAGTCACTCAGCAAGTACAGGTAAAAGGTGTTCAAGTCTTGTTACTTTGAATTTTTTCTTTTATTAGAAAGATCCATGCGGATCAAGTCTTAAATAGACGAAATGTATATTTTCTCTTTGAGGTCCTTTTTTCCCTTCTACAGTATCATGTTTATATTAGAATGTACGTAGACATGAAAGGAATAGGTTCAATAACTTGAAAGTTCTTGATTCAATTCTTGAAAAGATAGTATAACAGAGGAATAAAGGGACTGCTTTCCCATCAATGAGTTCAAAGTTTTTGTCTATGAATGTTGGTCTCACTGTCACTTTCTACATTACCTTTTCCACAGAGCTGCAGTAACTGCCACTGAATCTTCGGATCAAAGTGAACCAGACATAAACGAGCTTTCCTTTACAGAACTGAGAGATAAATTGCTGGCTCTAGATCCTTTGAACAAAGACCATGTCATAAAAGTCAACCAAGCAGAGGCTGAGTTCTGGAGGAAGTCGGAGGGTTATCGAGTAGGTTGGAGTGATGAAATTTTGGGCTTTGATTGTGGTGGCCAGCAGTGGGTATCGGAAACCTGTTTCCCAACTGGAACACTGTCTAAACCCAGTTTAAAGGACTTGGAATACATGGAAGAGTTAATACAGCTGATAGAACAAGAAAATTTACCTGCTCCTGCACCCATAGAGCAGAGATGGACAGCATGTAGCAAAAGTTTAATGAGTCCAGCTTATAGCTCATCAGAGGATGATATATTCTCTTGGGTAATCACACTATTGGTTCCTTTTTTTTTGCTCTCTTTATCTGGTGACCTGGAAGCTTTAGTTTTCTTAAGACTTCCTTCTGTACGGGTTATAATTTACAGCTTTAAGTGGTCGGAATCATGTTCCCTATATTCTTGTATGTTAGTTGCAAAACATCTCATCCACTCGAATATCAGGTTCTTTTCTTGGAAAGCCTAACTCATTGAAACCCTATACATCATACGCATTTCTGCTGTTGTCAAGAATGGGATGTTTAGATGAGAGAACAGGAGTGTTAAAAGAGGCAGTTCCTTTTATAAGAATAGTTGATAAGAATTGGTGCCGATGTTTAGAGGAGTTGAAGTTTTTTAGCGGTATTAATGTCATTGAATGTTTTGATTATGTGGTTGCATGTAACTTATGAAGCAAAGCATTGTCCTAAATACAAGTGGCTGATGTATTTTGCCACCGTAGAACTTTAATTCGTTTATTTTTCTTATTTTGAACCTTGAGTCATTTATCTCTCATCCTGTTTTGATCTCTGTTCTCCAGGTCGGCATAATCATGTATCTTCCTACCATGGATGCTCGTCAGCGGAAACAAATAACTGAGAAATTCTTCCACTACAGGCGTTTGACTATTAAACATTTATGGGATCGTTATTCTGCTTATGAACACTGGGCTAAGATTGAGGTATGTAAAGAACATTGTAATACCCGTTTGATATTTTATATATTTGGCATAGCTTAAATTATCAGACGTTGGGTGAGTGAACAGTTGATTGCACTGTTTCAACATTTTGTTTGATCAATATTTAGGTTCTGGCTGACCTTGGAGTTTGTGCAAGCATGCTTATAATTACACTCTCCTTGGGTTTCAAACACTATAAGTCGTAACAAAGTTTATAAGATTTTGTCTGGGAAAAAAAAAGTGGAAAGTGGATAATTGCCACCTAGAGTACTGTATAAGCTCTGGTATTCACAGTTGGTAGAGAAACTTTAAAATGGCATGAATTTGTAGATAGTGAGTTTGTGTAGGTTCAATTCTGAAACAAATGGACTGGATCATTCATCTTGTTTTTTGTGGTAGTATAGTGATGATACCTTCTGTAGTTGCAGATTTTATTTTTATGGAAATACGATTTATGTTTCTTAGAGACTCCTATTCTGCTGAGCAACTTGATTGATTATAAATGAAACCATAAACTTCCACTGATTCCATCACAATATAGTCAGAACTCAGAACCATAAGTAAGACTCTAATTTGCTAGACATGTTTGTTCCCAAAAAAATCCAGTGAAATGATGAGAACATTGATCAAAAGAGGATGAGTGCAACCCTTGATAGATGGTGATTATGCATTCAGAAATTCTTGTTTACAACAGAAATTTATCCACCTCGTAACTTCATTGCTAACGTTATGTCCTCATTGCTGACTGCCAATTGATTTTCTTTTATTTTTCCAGGTCCCCAAGGACAAGGAAGAACTTGCAGCTCTGCAAGCGAGACTACGAAACCGGTTTCCAGTTGATGCATACAACAAAGCAAGAAGGGAGCTGGATCCTAATCGCATCCTCTCCAACAACTTCCTGGAGAAACTCTTTCCCTCATCAGACTCGGTTTGAAACATCATAGCTCCCTTGGAATCAATATTTTTATTTTCTTCGGTCTGATTCAGATTACCCTGCTTTTGTTTTTGGGCATGATTAACAATCATATGCTGAGTTGTACATGATATTGCAAAAGCTTGATCGGCCATGCTATGTATAATGACTAGGATCTATCATGATTGAAATTTGGTCATTTTTACATGAAATTTTCAGTGTGTGCTGCACAAGTTTTTGTGATCTTTTGGCCCGAGTGAAGAAAGTAAGAGAGTTGGAAGAGGAGGGATCAATAGAAATCAGAATTCCATTATTGACTGCATACTAAAATTACATAACAAAATATATATATAAAATTCTTAAAAGGTGGCTAAACATCAAAATATATGTTTACATCACGAAGGAAAATAGACCAGAAAGCATTATACAAATCCAGCTTCAACCAGAACAACAAACACACACTGATAAAAACTCCCATCCAGTTCAATCAAAAGCACATGTCACAGATCCAGCAGCAACATAGTGCAAACAGGCTGCAGAAAAAAAAACAAACAACAAAAACCCTCATCAGATCAACTGAAGTAGTTAATATCACTTATCACAAACAGGTTAAACAGTCCAATTTCCGAAGCGAATTGAAAACAAGTGAAAAGACTTACCATCCTTCAATGAAACCTCTGTCTCCCTTAGGCTTGGACTTTGACATGAACTTGTGCTTCTTCTTCTCCGTAACTGGAGGGTTCTCAGTTGGGTAACCTGATTTAATTAACAAAACAAAGTTCGTAAAACAAGATTAGCAACTACTAATAATTGAACTTAAAATCAAAAATAATTCTTGAGATACAAGAATAATTGAGGATCAAGGAACATACCAGCAGGAGGTTGTTGGTTTTGTGCCTGATATTGATCCATATTTGCAAAAGAAGAAAACAAGCAGGACCACTGATCAAAGAGGAATCTAATAATCCAATAATAAGATGATTAGAGTTTTATGTGAAGAATACAGTATGTTGAGTCTTGATGATGTATTGGGGTAACAGGAAGGTTGAAGGAGGCCTTATTTATACACATTCCATATGTACGCGGAATCGCGTGATAAGAGTCGGTTAACTGGAGTTGGAGCTGGATGGATGTTTCCTCGGGTTTTTTTTTTTTTTTTTTTGATGTGTACCAATTAAATTTTACTCCTTTCGGATTTATCCTGAACAGTAGAATTAAATATGCTTCGAAATTAAGGGATAAATAAACACGTAATTCCTCCATTTTCAACCAAAAGAAGTCAAAAAAGAAAACGGTCCAAAACCCAAATGGATGTAATTATCATGAGCAGCGATATACCGTTTTTTTTTTTCTTTTAATGTAGTCATTATGTTTTCACAAATCGCAAATTCCTGTTAATTAAGCCTAGTTTTGTCTACCCACGTATGGACGATATAACTACAGTAGGAAAAAAAATCCTCTGTTCCCCTCAGGTCCTTATTCTAAAATAATTTAATTTGTACTAAATTTTACCTAGTATATTATTTTTCGATTGAAAAAAAAAACTTAAAACCACATTTTTCACATTCATTATATTCTTCTAATTATTAAGAAATATTTTTAAGGTTTTTATTTTTTTTCAATTGGAAAATATATTAGGTGAAATTTATGACAAATCAAAATATCTTATAACACGGACTCGACTGGAGGGAGAAATAAGTATGACTTATTGTTCTATTTTTGTTCAATGAATGTAACCTCTTTTTTTTTTTTCCGGCAGAGGGAAAATAGTGGTAAAAATATATGGCTTGGATTGTTGAATAATGGTGTTTCTATATGAATATTGAATGAAACGACAAAAATTTTCGCCTTCTTCTTTTTTTTTTGAAATAAAGGTGAGTATCTGTCTTTTCGTTGAACTCTTTAAATAGCAGTTGTACAAAATTTCGTTATCATTATTGATCATTGAAAACAATGTGAAAAATTCCCTTTATACTAAAAAAAAAAAAAAAAAAAACAGTGTGAACAGATGAAGTCTCTTTCCAGTTTGCATAAGTTTTGCTATTGTTCCCCCTTCTACTGATTCTGATTCTGATTCGTTCCTTAGTCATATGGAGCATCACGAAAAGGAGAAAGTATCCTCCAAACATGAAACCTAAAGGCGGTGAGAATATTTGAAAATTTGTATAAAGCTAATTTTTGACACTTTGACACTCACAAAAATTCTTTTAGAAGCTAAAAAGTTAAGAGTGATTAAATTTGGTGGGCATATATTCCCTAACATTGTGAATTAATTAAAGTACAAAACTTGAAAATATAATTGTTCTCTCTTTATTTGCATTGCATGCCTTGAGTTCAAGGTAATATGTGCACAAACAAATAATTGTAGAGAGATCTTCGTCTGCGGAAAAGAATTTACTTGCGTAAAATGGTCCTTAACCTGGATATGGTATGATCCACTTAAAACACTTACAGAAACCCAAAAACAAAAACAAAAAATGAACGCGGTTTTGCAAAACAAGAGTCGAAATTGGATAGAATAAACCAAAGGTATGTATCGACAAGTGTAAATCTGTCTTTCTGATTTGTACCTTGAAATAGTATCAGAATAGCTTTGTGTTTAAGAATTGGATTGCTTCTACATTTGCTAAGTTATAAAATAATAACACAATAAAAACTACTAGATCCTTCTGAAACCATAATACACGGGCGCAAAGTCCTTTTTTTTTTTTTTTTTTTTTGTTGTTGTCACAAAAATACTTGGTTAGGAGTCATTTTCATGGCTTCTTTGCCTGCCTTGTGGCTGTTTCTTACTTTGAAGCTTATTACTGTTTACATTTGTAATGTGCAAGCACGAAAACTTTGAAAAGGACTAGTTGGATTTTGGCTCCATCAAACAATTTCTTTCCCTATTTTTTTTAATTTTTTTTATTTAATTGGTCAACGATAAAATTTGCTTTACAAGTTGCATACTATACTATACGTAACGTTTGCTTCCCAATGATAATTATTAATTTAATTAAACCAGAGATTTGGTGAGGTTTTTTTGGGCTCTAGCAATTGTTGCCTTGCTTCTTGGAATGCGGCTACTCCCTTTCATATGTTTCAAAATTCGTTTGAGGTACTATCCAAATGGATTCGTTAAAGTTTTAAGGAAAGAGTCACGAGTTTGAATTAATCCCCATCCTAGTAGTACTTCAAATGTATCGATTGTGTCGTATTCTCAAAATGACATAGTTGTTTAAAACTACATATTATACGAATATAAACCAATAAAGATTTAACAATGAAGGCTTTGAAGCTCTTCTTCTTTTAGTGAATTATATTTAATTTAAGAGTGACAATACTCATAACTCACAATACAATACAATGTTCAACTTAATTTTGGTATTAACCTTCTTCTTCCCATCAGTTTGGCGTTTTGAACTTATTTAGACCATCCCCAACGGTAGCACCTATTTGGTGGTGCACATTTGGTGATTTGGTGACAGCTACAGTGTTTTGAAGTTTAACCATCCGCACAAATTCTATATTCAAATCACCAATTCTCTTTTATCTTTCATCTTTTATTAAGTTTATTAAATTGCAAAAGATAAAATCAAAATTTTTGTATCAACATTATAAAAAACATACTATAACAAATTAAATTTGACAAACCATATTTCATCAAATTAATAATTAAAATAACATTTTCTTATACAAATGAAAACAGAGAAACTTGTAATGACATTTTTTTTCTTATATCACATATGTATATTTTTATTCATATTACCTTTTTTTTGTAATGTTATAAATTAAATATTAAGTCATACACAAGAGATCAATTACAATTCATAAATTAATATTTACAAATTTTATAAATTTGTAATATATACAATGGTTACAAACTATACATTAATTAATTTAATGGGCTTGTTTTATAAATAACATAAATTAGCTAAAAGTCGAAAAATAAAAATAAAATATTCAAGCACCAATTTGGTGCCATGAACAGTAAGACATCAAATAGACGCCTTACTGTTCATATGCAAGTGTTTGGTGACATGAATAGTTCCCCCTTGGGCTTGCTTTTTGTACCCAAATCACCAAATCACCCATCCGTTGGGGATTGTCTTAGAGGAATAGGCGAAGATGACCGATGAGAATAGTTGAAGGTATTATTCATATCGTTTGCCATAGGTATACTGTAAGAGTGATAGAAACAATAAATTTTATTAGAGAAATGATTTAACGACTGATGTGATACACATTTGTGATGGTTCATCATCTGGCGGCAGCAAACAGTACACTAATCATTTGTGATGGTTTGTCTTCTTTCTGGCATGACAGCTGACTAGAAACAGGCATATTGTGGACTATTTTCAGATATTCCTCCAGCATCGGACTTAGCAGTTAATGATTTTTTTTTCTTTCTAAGGATTTTTTCTTGATAGTTTTTGCAGGAATACTTGGTGAACAGATGGTGGATCAGCTGCGGACTTTGGAGTTCAATTTTGCGAATGAGCCTGACAAGATTATGTGGAAGCCGAAACACCAACGGGGATTTTTTCCATTACTTCGGCTTATGAAGCAGCGCACCAACATAGAGAAGAATTTCTGCCCCTTAAGACTCTTTGGAATAAACTTATCCCTTTAAAAATTTCATTTTTTGCATGGAAGTTCTTTAATCACTTACTCTCATTTCCGGAATCTTTGCAAAAAATTAGTTTTTTCATGAGTCCTTCAAGATGCCCTTTTTGTCATGCAGTGGAGGATATTATAGATCATATTTTTTATGCATGTCAAAAAACAATTTTAGCATGGAAATATTTTGATTCACTTTTTGGCATATTAATCCCAGAAAATGCAAGATGGTGGAATTGCTTGCAAACGTGGCAAAAAATGGGAAGCTATACATCGGCCAAAAAACTCCATTCTAATGGTCACACATGTTTTCCTATTATAGAAAATCTGGAAGATGAGGAATAAAATCATATATGATGATGTTAATTTTTCGTTGAATTTTTTGCAAAAAGAAGTGTTAACTGATATCTCGAATATGCTAAGTGTACATGATTTGCAGGCAAGAACTATAGCGAAATCAATCGAGTTGGAAAGCTTATTTCGAGTCAAGGTGCGAAAGCCAAAAAGAAAAGCAACAAAGGTCCTGCGCTGGCAACCTTCAGATCAAGGAAAAATTGTACTAAATACAGATGGATCAGCTTTTGGACAACCTGGAAATGTCGGATAAGGATATGTCATCAAAGGAGAAAGAGGAACTTTTCTTTACGCTGGATGCGGCAGTATGGGAATCGCTACAAGCTTTGAAGCAGAGCTAGCTGGAATTTCTTATGGACTCAAAGCTTGTGAAGAAAAAGGACTACATCAAGTGATCATCCAAACAGATAACACCAGTATTGTTTCCTTGTTACAACAAGACAAAAATTTTACCTGGGAACAATACATGCTCATAAAAAGAGTTCATGAAAAATGCACTCTACAAATGTCCAAATAGTCCACATCTATCGCGAGGTAAACAACGTTGTAGACGAACTTGCAAGACATGCCTTAATGGAAAGCACAATGCAATATCATTCCCCGGGGTCTCTTCCAGTAACATTGAGAAGTAAGCTTTATTTAGATCGGAATAATTTTTCATATCTAAGAACCAAGTAGCTTTGTAGCATAGTATAGCCACCACAGTCTAGAGATGTCATGGGATTTATGTTACAAATCTTTGTAAGACATTCTCTTAGTCATACTTTTTATTCTTTTTCTAAACTAGCATTGAACTGTCAGAGGATAATCTTTGATCTATCTTTGTAAGTCCGTTCATATATCTACTTTGTTCGAGAACCGTTGTGAGAATTTTAGAGAAACTTTCTATAAGACGGCCTCTTCTGCTTTGGGAAAGTTTTAAGCACTTTTTTTTTATATTAGTAAAATCGAGGGAATGACTATCAGGTACCGTCCTGATTCTTCTAAAAAAAAAAAGATTAATGTGACACACATAAAAATATAACATGACTAATCATATTTCTTATAGAATGAAATACAGTAACTGTTGTTTGAGTCGCCCATCTGCCACATATAATGTAATGAATCATTATTAGGAGTAACAAATCTAATACATAATCTATCCTATTATCTCTACCCGTATTGATTAAGGTTAAAAACTTCAAAATTCAGCTGCCGAAAAGCATT